TTCCCTTTTGCCCCACTCACCTTACACCTGAAGCATGACTGAGACTTTAATTAAACTTTCTTCATTTAAAAAAAAGAGGGTTATTTCACAGTGGCATGAAAACATACTTTCATCAGCACCTAGAGATTTATGGGGGAAAATTTTGTGATTCAGGCTCATTGTGCTGAGTGCCAGTTGAAGCATAACAGTAGTCCAGGGCTCGAACAGCACAGAAATTCTGCATTTAATGGTCACAACAATAACCAACTTATTACAGTCTTTTATGTTTCTTTAACTGTTGCATAGAGCCCTATATTGGTTTGTCAGGCAATTTTTCCTCCCCTTCTAAAGTGCCGATGCTATCCTGTTAGTTTGCCTGCAGAGTAAGGAAATTTGTAGATTTCTGATCTATTATATATCTCTTACATACAATAATTGTTGACTCTCAATAAATGTTCATGCATAGTAAATCTCTTACTAAATTGTAGATGGTAGCTGTTGTGCTGCAATCAGTGTCAATTTTATCTATAGCCTGTGTGTACACACATTCTCTCGCATAAATACACCAGCTTTAGACGATATAATTTTGACATTTTTTACATTGCAATTTATAACTCAGTTTAGGGGACTGGATATAACACACATGTATGCAAGCTGCTAATGATTACATGTTTCAGATTCTATGTTGGTATGCACTGTTATAAAAACTTCAGTGTGAAATTTATAGTTTGCTGGAACTATTTTAAAATGTTTCAGATTTATTAATTTGAAAAGCACTACCTTGCTTGCATTTTCCAACTTGTTTCTTCCCTTAAATGTAATATGCATTTGTTTAGGTGGTTGTATATTGGACAAAGAATATATGGAGGGAGCCTGTTTGCCTGGAGAGTGAAACAGAACTTTTTGCTTGTCCTTCCAACAGAAAGAGGAACTTGCAGTGATTTTGCCTCAACACTTCTAGACTTGCAGTTTTGTATAACAAATATAAATTAAATATTCTTAATTATTTCAGCTCTGCTAGAAAGGATACAAAACAAAGGGGAGATTGATGCAGCATGCCTCACAATGGCTCTACTGATTTCTCTACTGGCCCCTCCTCTGCACATGGTCAATTAGAATTGAAAATTCTGTGCTGATTTCATTTGCTGGAATTTTAAAGCAGGTCAGAAAGAAAGATGTTATTGAAAGGAAAATTCTCATCTAAATAAGAAAAGAACACGTGGCCATCTGGTCTAGCTATACCATACCGAAAGTCATTTAAACTCCATTACATTCTTGATCTTTGCAACAGTTTTCCAAAATGAGACAGAAATTTGTTTATATTTACATGTTGTTTACATTAAAATATCCTACATGGTTTTTATCTATAAATATGCAGTGCACAGTTCATTTCCTATGTGTGATGCATGAGCTCATTTCACCCTACTGCCTGAGTGAGCTGGACTGCATTTTGGGCAGGCAAGGTTTCAATTGCTCTAACTACTTTTACTACATAAAGATATGAAGAGAGCAACCCATTTTTTGAAAGTTTTGAGTGATCCCAAGTACTATGTACACATGCCTCATGTTCATATTTATACTTAAAGGACACATTGAGACAATTTTTTTTAAATGGTCATTGGAACTAGAAGTTTCTATGCATTGTGCTGTACTGTTTACACAGCCAATCACAGTCTGTATCAAACTCCTCATTTTGTATGCCTGAAAGTCATAAATATGTGTAAATTTTCATGATTGCTTTGTTTCAATATCAACAGCTATTTACAAGTTTAAAGGAAAAAGTGGATTAGCAAAAAACATAGGCCAACATTTTCGAACTTAGACTTTGGTTACAAAATTACTCTCCCAGATCCATATTTACGTGCTCCAATATAAATGACTTTATTTGTGAATTGCATCTACAATTTATACTGATTTTGGCAGAGTTTGTTGCATGTTTATGAAAGTGGAGCCACTGTTGTTTAGGAGCTCAGATATGTACCTCAAGCGTACCAGAGAAAAGGGGGGAGGGAAGATTTGCAAATAATGCAGCTGTGAGAAATGCATGTAGTTTTATATATAATTAATTATATATATAATTTCCTGGGTATATCCATCAGTGTATTGAAATAGCTAATGATACATTATGCCTTTTCAAATAAGATGCTACATTTTTCTTTCAGAACATTCCTAATTATTCATATTAAAAATTGGATTTATATCGTTTTAATAGATCAATCAAATACACTGTCTTCATTTCTTTGACTTAACACTACAAGTTTCTAGAGTGTATTTGGAGCACTGGATATTATTATCATTAGTTATGACAACCTTATTTTCTATCTTTTTCTCTCTTTACACAACTTACTAGAAAGTTTTATAAACTGCTCACCCAAAATAATCAGCATATAGGATATCCATATTGGGATCCTGTTTTCAGATCTAAATCTAGAATACTATAGACTGCATGGCAGAGAGAGAGAGAGAGAAACACAATAATAAAGGAAAAAACAGTAGAAGTCATTTTTCGTAAATCAGCTGATATTTTGAATAAACCGTAGTTTCTTAATCCATGTCAGGTAAATAGTTTTAGAAAAGAAAAAAAAAAAAAAAAAAAAGAACATACTATATTTAGGCGTTTTAAAGTGCTACTCAAAAGAATGTGATTAAAAAATACTTTTCCAGATCCCTATATTGTGTATCCAGGGACAATGAAATGCATAAACATTTCAAAGAACATTTCTAGAATATACTTTTAAAAATTAAATGGAAAATGGTTCAAAGAAGAAAAGAATCTTCCTTTCCTCTGGGTATCTGTACTAGCCCCACCCTTGGCCACACCAAACTAATGTGCCTGACTATTTTTAGAAATACTGTCTTCAAAAGACAAACTTTCTGGAAGTAATGAGAGACAGCCAATCGCTGTTTCTCCAGGGACTATAGTAACTGCTTGACAATTGGAAGGCCAGATTCCAGTAGTCAGACTGACTACCTCAAATAACCCCCCTCAATTTGGACATGGTTTAGCCACTGGCATTTGAATACCACTAGGTTTCAAGATGCTCAGAATAATCTGAGAGAACAGTAACTCTCTAAAACCTAATCTATTTGTAAGTATTCAAATTTTCAAATGTAGGTCCCTGAATTGCTAGTATAACATATGTGCATACATTGTAATCTGTATATGCATACAGTGTTTCTACATAATTGTATGTCGTCTATGTGAACAACATACTGTCTACAGGAGTACACTATTTGTAACTGGAGTGAAACTCTAGATACTGGATGTATAGTGCATCATGCTATAGAATTGAGGAGGTGTAGATAATGTATACAGCTATTTATGAATGCATCTTTCATATATTATTTTAAAATAATGCGAGACTTAGAACTGAGTGTGTCCAGAGAAAGAGAAAAGAAGTATTTTTGTCTTTGATGTTTCTACAGTATGGGTAAGACTTCTGTGCCTGGTCTGCACATAGCAGAGAAATAGACTTGCCGTGCATTGCGTGCAGGCTCCTTGATTGTAAGGGGGGGGGGGGGGGGAATCTGGCTGGAATCCAGCCAGGCTAGCATAGTGCTCTGTTGATCATTATGTCTAGCCTTCAGGTGTCTCAGCTCACAGTGGGCGGCAGTTGGGGGAGGTGTAGATAACAGGAGAGCAGACAAAGAAAAAAATGGTGTACTTAAAAAAGATTATATGAAAATTCATGTCCTGTTCTCCTTTTAAAAAATAAATTGTTTGCTTTCCTTTCTCCACAATAGGAACACATGAACATACGCCCAGGAAGATTTATTTTAAGCCATACTTAATAGTGGCTTAGTCTTTCAACAATTTTTCTTTCATGGAGTTAATTTAAAAAAAACAAGTATGAAGATCTTTCACTGAAACTGTTTCATCTCCATGTTTTCTTACAGAGCCAGACTAGCTAAGCCTGAATCAGGTTTCCATTGTCTTTTCTCTTTTTCTTTTCTGTTAGTCCTGTGAAAATACTTTCAGAATGGAACTTTTTAAAAGAAGATTCAGACTATTTAATGATTTCTTAATTTAAATCCAGAAAGATAAATCAATGTGCTATTATCGGTTTGGGTTCATTTCATTTCTAGAGACTATGAGGGGGGCGCAGAGGGAAACCACCTCTGCTTTGTCTGTTGCTTCTGTTTGAGAACTCTTGTAAATCTTACACAGAAGGCCACTTAGATTGTCTGTCGAGCAAAGATCTTGGTAAGCGATCAAAATGCATCTCATTATGACTGTCTTATTTCTCCTCCACCCCCGCCTTCTGACATTATGCCGTGAAGAGCTTCATACCCCTTCCCAACCCACCAGGAGTCTGAGTGAATTCTTTCTAAAAGGAAGGCAGGGTTCAGAAATGTTTAAAGCAGTCTGTCCAAACCCCTCCCCAGACTGAACAATTCCAGACTGAATATTTATTACCTGGTGGTGTTTTTTTTATACATAAACCTCAGCCCTCCCCTCCCCCCAAACACTGAAAGGGGTAAGATGGGAACTTTGTTTGATTTCATTGTTCAAAACCTATGAGCTATTTGCCCCAGAGTGTCTGTGCTGTCTTTCAGAGCTAATTATAATAACTGTCAGATGTCTGGAAAGTCTGGACTGTCCTTGCCAGCAGAGACAGCAAAGTTTGCTTTTATTTTTTTCCCCATTGGGGACAGATCAGGCTTGATTAAACACAGAGTGCAAATTAAAGTGAACATACATGTGTGGGGCTTTCTTGCCTTCATTTTTCTTTATGAACAAAGCAGCACACTGGCTATGTTAGGAAGCAGTGTGGCATGCAGCTCTTATGCAGACACTGCCCTGAGGGATAACTGATTTTTTTTTCTCTTCCCTCCCACCCTTTCTTCTTTTATTGAAGCATGCAGGGAATATTTCTGAAAGATTCCCCATTCTTAGATCATTTTCAATAGGCAAGGCCAGGGAAAAATAAAAAGAGCATGTTTTAAAGATCTGATGAAAGCAACATGTCAATAGCATTACACTGCACACTTTAAGGGTGAAAATAAAAATCAATACTCACTGTTTCCTAGTGCTAAGGGATTCTAGTCACTGTCTCCTTCAGTAGAGATGAGTGTGGTAGATTAATGTCAAGGATGCAGATCCCAATTTAAGGCAGAAGGGAAGTACAAAACTGCTTCATAAAGTCACTCGGAAGTCAGTCACTTGTGCTCCGACATCCCATGGCTGCTGTGCAAGCTGTACTATCTGCAGTTCTGAATTGAACTAAATACTGCCCATGTGAAAGACAGGGGAAACGCTGTCATGTGGGATGCACAAATCCATCCTATTGGCTATGAAAGCATAACTTAGGGATCCTTGTTTTTCCACTATTGGTTAATAGTTAAAACAGAAAGAGTAGGTCTTCCTAGGGAGCCCCTTTCCCTTCTGTGTGTGGAAGAATGAGTGTAGGATTTTACAGTGACAGGGTTAGTTAAGAAAGGGACTGAAGTCATCCTTTGAGTCTAGTGGGTGGGGATTGGAGGCTGAGCTTGTGTGTGTGTGTGTGTGTGTGTGTGTGTGTGTGTGTGTGTGTGTGTGTGTGTCCGTCCCCATCCGTCCTTTTGCCTGGGCGTTGCATATCGGAAATATTTGCAATTAACTTCGGAGGGTCAAGCAAGGATTTTTTTTAATTTTAGATTAAGGTTTAATATTGCAGAGTGTAGGATGGTGATTTTATAGGATTCATTAAAGTATTCTAGCTGTTTAAACAGATTATTTATTATCACTTTTCATAGATTCACAGATCTGAAGCCCACTATATGATCATCTAGTCTGATCCCATGCCCCATTTATCCTGTGAATCCTATATTTTTCACAAAGTTGTAGTAAAACTAGAGCATAAGTGTTATAAATCTACGCAATTGCACAGAGCTATTATTACATTAACATTATAACCATTGGTAAGCACTGAAATTTCATAAACTTCATTATGGCTAAGATGAATTATTATGAAGAACTTATTAGAATTAAATGGGAGGACAGAAGATCAACTCTTCTCCATGTAAATGTTCTGCCTATTTGCCTTATTTAATTTTGCAGGCATCAGCAGTAATCTGAAACAGCGGTCAGTCATATGTGACACAAATTCTCCAATTAACCCTTATTAAAAATACTTTTCTGCAGGGGTGGGGAACGTGAAGCCAGATACGGGCTCAGTCCCCTTCCCTCCTCCCCCCCCCCCCCCCACCCATGCCAGTGCTCCAGCCCCCAATTCTGGAGCGCACAAAATCTCCTAACTTGAACCCCCCTACAAAAGAGGAATGTGGGGAGTGTCTTTCTCTTTCTCAGTCAGGGGCCACATCAGCGATGGTTTGTTTGTTTTTTGCTTCATGCTTACATGTGACCCCTGACTGACTTTTTTTTGGGAGGGGGGGGGGTCAGCTGTCCTGATCCAAAAAAGGTTCCCCTTCCCTTGCATTTCTGAAATCCAGCATGCATATGCACACACAATCACAGAAATTAGATATAGGAGAGAACTATCAGTGTTACCTATCCCATCTCCCTGTCAGTTCAAGATCTTCTGTATTTGAAAGGATTTCATTCGGTCTAGCTCTAAATATTCTGAACCATGGCATTTCTGTCATTTCTGAGGGAGAATATTCTTGAGTGTAAAGGCCCAAATCAATAATCCGATAGTGTGTCCACATTTGGAAGTTTGTGAACATAGCTCATTCGGAATTTCCATTTTGGTAAATTTTCCAGTGTAGACAAACACCCCTTCTTCTATGTAGTCCTGATGCATTATCCCTTACTGTGATCTTGTTGTCTGGAAATATTCCTGCTACCTTGCCTAACCAGCATCTATTTTTCCTCCTTTTCTCATTCCTTCTAGTTACTTTTTTGTGCCACTTTTGAATAATTCCTTTTGCTTCTTGGTGTTTACAGTCTTCAACTATTCACAGGCTTTCATCATGTCTAGCCTTGTCCTGACTTAGCTTAATACTGCATTCTAGGTGTAAGGACAGAAACGCCATATTGAATGTGTGTCTGGTCTCTCTTTAGTGGGTGCTTCCACAACACATTTTCACATCATGAATACAATAAATATATTCAAAAATAAGTCTCCATCTCATTTGACAAACCAGATTTCTTGGAAAAATATTGCATCAGTGAATGAATGAATGTGTCAGTGCTTTTCATCTCTGTTCTGTATTGAAATTACCATCTTATCTCAGTAAATTTGTTGATGGCTTCGTCAACAGTGAACTGTGCAAAAAATATAGGATTGAGTACACTCTTAACCCACCAATTGATTGAGAGGAAGGATATAGATACAAACATGCATTACACAATGCATCACAATGGAGAGCATCTTTGCAGCCGGGATCATGTTATCAAGTATTTACAGATATATTCAAGTATACGAGAGTCCTAGCCCTGACTGACACCTATGGGTATTACTACTATGTGACGGGGCAGCGGGGATCGCAAGCCCCAACCCCGCACCCCGCACTGGGGCGCTGCGGGGAACAGCCGCCGGGACACCCGAGTGGCTCTGCCGCACCTGCCCAGTGGCGGCTGCCGGCGCAGGTGCAAGAGCCTCCCCGACACCCCACCCCTGCACGCTCCCGGCCCCCCAGGGAGCATGCACCGGCGTCCCCGGCCAGGGGCGCCAGATTCAAGAGCCGGGCGGCCAGAGGCACAGGGGGAGAGATGGAGACCCGGCAGGGCAGCGAGCTGGCAAGCGCGGAGGACGGGGAACATGGCAGGATCGACAGCGACGGGCAACCGACTGCTCCGTGATCGGAGTGGGTGAGTCAACCCCGAAACCCTGCTGGACCAGACTGAGACATACAGACCCGAAAGGGTCAGAGGAAGCAGCCCAGGACGGGGTCGGAAACCCCGGGGACCGGTGCGTTGCGGCCGTAGCCCCCCCGGTCAGGACCCCCCCCTTAGGGTCCTGGGCTGGGACCTGGAGAGGGGGCAGGCCCAGGTCCCCCTCCGCCCCAGTTGGTTACTGGAGGACTATTAAGGAATGAGACAGTGGAATGTGATGACTCCCCTCCCCGGGAGAGGGGCCAGGAACGTTACAAATGGTGGAGAATGTGGGTATGAACCCCTAGACTAGAGGGGATGGTCCCCCAACCCCCCCAAAAAAACTGTCCAAGATGACAGTGAATCCCAAGTGGGGCAGAGGGCGCATCCCACGGAAGAATGGGAGGAGAGCCACAAATATGGACCCGGCCCATATTTTCGAATGGCTCACGGAACAGCAGAAGCTACAGCAACAGCTCCAGGTGCAGTTGCTACAGCAGCTGGCCGCACAAGGCCAAGAACAGCGGCGCCAGCTAGTGAGGGAAATGACCCAACAGCAGGAAAGATGGCTGCAGCAGAGGGTAGGCCAGGGAGCTGCATCCGGGCCGGCGGGAGACGGGAATGAGGGACCCTGTGGAGCGGCACAGCTGCCCATCAGGCTAACCAAAATGGGACCGCTAGATGACCCTGAGGCATACTTAGTAACTTTTGAGAGGGTAGCACTAGCCGCACGATGGCCTGAGGACCATTGGGCCATGCTCTTGGCCCCCTACCTCACTGGACCGGCGCAATTGGCTTACAGGAGCTTGGCCCCGCAGGATGCCTTGAAGTATTACAAGGTCATAGAGGCCATATTAGACCAGATAGGGGTCACACCAGAAACCTATAGACAGAGGTTCAGGACGGAGCGATGCCCCCAGGGGGGCACGACCGCGAGCCGTGGCACAGAAGTTAAAGGAACTGGCCTGGCAGTGGCTGGAGCCGGATAGGAGGGATAGTACCCAGCTAGCGGACGCAGTGGCACTCGAACAATTCTTGCAGATTCTCCCCCCGGGGGCCTAGCAATGGGTACGCAGACATTGCCCCCAGGTCCTGACCGATGTGGTCACCCTAATGGAGAATTATATGGTGGCGGAGGCGCCAGGAGGCCCCGGGAGAGGGGACAGAGAGGTTCGGGCGGAGAGGCTGCCAAGGGGCCGAATGCGTCCGGGGAGGGGAGAGATGCGCTGGGGCCTGGGGCAAGGGGTGGCCAGGCGAGCGCTGGAGGTAGGAAGAGAAAGACCCCCAGAAAACACAGGAGTAGGGGGTACCTTGACCAGAGAGAGTCAGGGGAGGGGCGGCTGAAGGGACACCCTCTTGTACCCGATGTTATAAGTGCAGGCAAGAGGGGCACTTCAAACGTGAATGCCCCTTCATGGACTGCTCATTCGGGCAAGGGGTCCCCTTGGGGGCGCCCCCTTGCCCGGACCATAGAGCTATAGTAACCACCAGGGTATTGGTGGAAGGGGTACCGATGCAGGCCTTAGTGGACTCGGGTTGCGGACAGACAATGGTCCGCCTGCAATTAGACACGAGTCCCGAGCCCGCCAGCTCCACAGTGTGGGTACGGTGCATGCACGGGGATGTCTGGCCCTACCCAAGGCCTGGGTGAGGTTACAGTGCCAGGGAGAAGACGGCATTTGTCAGGTGGCCCTGGCCCCGCAGCTAGCATACCTGGTGGTCCGAGCGGGACTGGCCTGGCGTCTGGCGAATTTTGCAGGCATGGAACCCGTCAGACGCCAGCCAGCAGGCAGACGCAATGGAAGGGACAGAAGCCGAACCTGACTGGGTCACCGCTCACGATTTCCTCGAGGAACAAAGGAATGACCCGTCCCTGGTGTGGGCCTGGGAACAGGCAAGGGGGGGCAAAGCGGACAACGAGGCAAACGCGCAGGAGACCCACTTTGAGGTACAGGGGGACTGCCTGGTAACCGGGTAACCCGGGAGGCTGAGGAGCCGGGGTGGGTTCGACAACTGCTTGTACCCGGCCGCTACCGCAAGAGGGTGCTAGGACTCGCCCACACGAACCCCTGGGCTGGGCATTTAGGCCAGGAAAAGACCCTGCAACGACTCACGCAACGGTTCTTTTGGCCCGGCATATACAAGGCCGTCAGGGACTTATGAAAGTCCTGCCCCACCTGCCAACGCACCTGGTTACAACTGTGCCCAAAGGCCCCATTGGTGCCCCTCCCGGTGGTAGGCATCCCCTTCGAGCAAGTGGGCTTAGACCTGGTGGGTCCTGTGGAAAAGTCCACCTCGGGCTGCCAATACATCATGGTCCTGGTAGATTACGCAACCCGCTACCCGGAGGCGGTCCCCTTAAGGAACACCACCGCAGCAACGATTGCGGGGGAGCTGGTCAAGATATTCGCCCGGGTGGGGATCCCGAAGGAAATTCTGACTGACCAGGGGACCAACCTAACATCCCGCCTAGTACAGGAGTTGTGGACATGGTAGTTCGAATTAGCAAAACGCTAATTCGAACTAGTTTTTTAGTCTGGATCCGTTAGTTCGAATTAGCTTAGTTCGAATTAACTAATTCGAACTAAGTTAGTTTGAATTAACATTGTAGTGTAGACATACCCTGAGAGCTTAACATGAC